ATGGCATAATCTGGACTTGACACAGAATCACATGATCGGTAGTGATTTTGTTTTAAAGTACTGTTTCACAATAGAAAATTCCACTACTGAACTGTTAAGTAAGCAATAAATCTATGTTTAAAAAAGTCAGAATAAAGGCAAAACAATAGAAGGGAGGGAGGAGTTGGGCAATGACCTCGAAATGAGCGGCATAGCAACAGGCAACAGTGAGTGGTGTAGGGGTTTGGGGGGGAGGGTGAGACCTTTGAGCTATATTTAGACCAGACTTTCACCACTTCCCAAAATGGCTGGGTAGGGGCAGTGGGATTACAATAGCAGGTTTTTTCCTTGCCTGGTTTGACTTTTGTCTTTTTGTGTAGGAGATTTGAATCTTAAAAAATACAATTTGAACTGACCACAATTATTTAGCATTCAACAAGCAACAATCCACATACAATCTGCAAGGGACCAGGAGAAATATTATTTGAATTAGAGTTAATGCCATGATTTGCATTTTTACATCAAAATACAACATTGCGCAATCATGATGTTTTGGGTCATTGACCTTAATAACGCATCTGTTATAAGTTTATAATTATAAATTGATGTTCCCGTGGTTGAAAATAATTATTCTGTAAACTTGTAAAACATTAGATAACTCATAAATAAGTATAAAATCATTCATAAAGACAATGGTAGCACTCCTAAAAAGGATTTAAAGATAACAACATAAAAATATCATTATACTTTCTCTTTGTTCTTCCATTTTTTCTTGGGGTTCCCTCCACGCATTCAACAGGTTACTATAATCACCCCATTCCCATTAGAGACTTCTACGCATTACTCATAATCAGCTGAGATGTTATCATCAGTTATTGATAACAGATTTTTTTTTCTTATTGTAGCTATTAGAAAGTAATAACATAGACTAAGCAAAGTATTTTTTATCTATGGTAATAAACAACAAATGTTTCTGTTACTAAAGCTTACAAATATCTCAAAATAATTAATTTGGCTTGGCCTAAATCTAGGTTACATAATATATAGTTTGTTTTCCTTCTTGACAACTTACATTAATGTGGTTAATGTGCATGGAATACAATTGATTATAGTGAATTAGCCCTAAGTCTAGGTTTCATTTGATTTCTATAACTACTATTAATTATATGGGCCTATTACATTATTCAGTACATGTTCAATCTACAATTGTTTTGTTTAACAGTAAGGTAGGCTACTAGTATGTAGGCCTATTTAAGTACTTTATTTTGAACATACATTTTGACTATTTTGACAGAATGTTTGTTTAATTGTTTTATACAAGATGAAAAAAATTTATTTTATTAAATTTAAAAAATTATTTTTCCTTTACCCACTGCCAAACCAATGGAAATTTTGTTGGCCTACTGTTGCAAAAACCACACCAACTAAGAATAATAGTAATAAACTTACAAAACTAAAGGTGAAAAGGTACGAAATAAGATTTCAAGTTTTAGAATAAATCTCTATATTGAACTTTATATTGCAATTGCAACCTTAATAACTAATAGATGCAAGTATTAAGTAATTTTAGCCAAGTATTATTCAATATTACTTATCAATAGGGATTAATGTAGTTAATTTTTAGACAAACTAGTGCCCCTGTTGCTCGAATTCGAGCAATTGCTAAATATTACAGGCGTTATTTTAAAACGAATTTCAACCAAGTCAGCAAATATTTGTAGCAAACTGTTAAATTAGCAAACCATAGCAAACTTATTGACTGTTTAATTAACATATGCTCTTCTTCTCACTTTTGATTTCTGACAACAGCTGGAGTTTCATAACAATTTTTGTTTCCAATGTTAATCTTATGGAGAAATACGAAACTTTTAAGGGCTCCAGGGCCTCACTCTATCATTATTTCCCTAAAAAGAAAGTTTCCTGCACAACTTCACGTTACGCTCTTTCCAATGACACCAAAAACATGACAATCGGTTCAGTAGTTTCGGAGGAGTAATTGTCACAAAAAATCTGCTTGCGTATTAAATAAGTATATAGATAAATATATGCTCACTTGCCTATTTTTCACAGAAGTAGAAGTTCATTTATGAGCTCTATTGTTGTTGTTTTAAAATTATTTTCTATGCATTATATTGATTTGTTACTGCACAAATATACTACTGTGCGACTCATGAACATTGACATTGAATCAATAACTCACTGGGCCACAAACAACGGACTTAAACTCAACATTGACAAAACTCAAGCAATGATTGTTGGCTACCCCAGATTAATGACTAAAATAAACTTACTCACTGCACCACGACTTAGCTTTGACGGAAAAGACCTTACCTACTGCGACAAAGTGAGAAACTTAGGACTCATAATGAATTAGTCTGACCAAGCAAATTCCACTTGTAACAGGGTTTTTGGGGCTATTCACACCTTCAAACGTTTCGCAGAATACCTTCCACTGAACTTGAAAATCATGTTAGTAAAAACTCTCATCTTGACTCATTTCAACTACTGTGATGTGGTGATCAATGACATGACTAATGATGTTTCTAGCAGACTTCAGCGAGCACAGAATTCCTGTATCAGATTCATATTTGGCCTTAGACGATGACCATGTGACTCCCTATTTCAACCTGCTTTCATTAATGAGACTAAATGAACTTCGGGAATTTCACACCCTCCGTCTTCTACACTCCATTATCAACAGTAAAATTCCTAAGTATTTATCAGATAACTTCCATTTCATTTCTGACATCAGTACCCGTTCCACTCGTAGAGGCTCTCTTCTTTTATCTACACCAATTCACAGGTCAACAGTTTTTAATAAATCTTTCTTAGTATCTGCAATTCGAATGTGGAATTTTCTTCCTGACCATATAAAATCCATAGAGAACCGTGCAGGGTTCGGGGCAGAGATAAAATCTATGATTTTGAGTAGAGGCATGAATGAGTCTCTGGCGCTGGTGTGGCGGGTTGTTGGCGGCTTGTGTGAATGGACTTTTTGGGTTTAAATTTAATTTCAACATGTTTATAATATGGTACCTTAGATTATTTAATTTTATTTATAAAGTGGATAGTTTATTTATGTTTTAGAGGTTAAGTGGTAGAGAGGACTTGCTAGTCCTAACTTCGCCTCTTAAATAAAGACATTTTTCATTTTTTTTTCATTTCATTTCAAATATAATTAATTTATTTATAATGTACTTCAGCTTGTAACAAGGTTTTTTTTCAAGTTACATGCTCTAGGCCTAAGGAGTTACTTAAACTTACACATCCTTCGATCTTTTTGGTTCAAACTCGACTCGAACTCGAGAATCGAATCCTTTGCCAATTACTCGACTCGAACTGAAAAACCTGTACTCGCACATCTCTACATTAAACATTCCGGTTGAAATTTTCACTATCAAAGGTGCTCTTGTCCTGTCCATATGGAACACTGAGAAACATGCGCTACCAACAGTTGCAACTGTTGTATGTTGTTACTGTTTACAAACTGTAATAAATAAGGTGCAATATAATGCAATATAATAACTATGATGCATCGTTGGATAACTAATTTGTAAATAGTAATGTGTCGGTACGTAAAAATGATTCTCGCTGCTACCCAACCACCGGTTCTAAGAAAAAGAACCAGTAACAAAAACCAAAGTTTACGGTTAAGAACCATAGTACATCCGACCAGCTTAAGGCGTAAATCAAGTCCCGAGGTTACAGATCTTTCTTGGTTTTGGATTTTCTCACAACATGTTATCAAAAATCAAACTTATTTCCCACTAATTGCATTATTTGTTAACAACTTTTAATGTTAACATATTGGTGACAGTTTAATCCCAACAACTTTTTGTTATTTAATAGAAGACATATTCTATAAACCATGTTTGGTTATCTAGTTAACATTTGAAGGACATTTGAAAAAATCACACAATGTTGGGTTTTTGAACGTTTTAAATTTATTTCCTAAGTAGGTGGGCCATGTATTCTAGGTAAAAGTATACCGGTATCAAGGATCATCGCAGAAATTTGGTTATGAATAATTGTTTAGGCCTACGAACCCAAGAGATTGGTCATATCATCTCTCATGGCAATTGGTCTATTGTCTGTATGGTCCAGCGATTGCAGCACATAGCGGTGAGAAGACACATTGGAAAAGCGAGTTGAGCATAATTTGTACACCTCTGTTACAATCACCCACTGCAGTTGTCACTTTACAAAAAATTAGTTTTTTAAATTTTTTTATTATAAAATTTAACTGTCATAACCTAACCGAACTAACCAAACTTTCTGATGATATAAAATAAAAATCGAATGAAGGTTTACTATTTAAAAAAATAGTTCTTTAAAAAATAAAGTGAAAAGTAAAAAAATAAGCATAATCTTGGACAAAAAGTTAATGTCGCCGGCGAGACTCGAACCGGACACACTTCGATTACCAGTCTGAGACGCTATCAACTACGCCACGAACACCGATGGACTCTAAGCGTCTCACGGTATTGGTGTTCCTCAAGAGTAGAGGACGTCACGCCCCCCACCCCTTCGCACAAGAGGTTCTCGCCAGTTACTGATGAGGAACAGGAGATGCTAAATGTAAAGTACTCTTCGTTGATATTTTGAAATTTATCACCCACCTTTAAAATAGGGGTTGCTGGGGCTAACTTAAAATGTTTAAATGGCAACCCCTATCAAGTAGCACATAATTTTAAGGAGCATTAAAAAAAGAAATTAATGCTGCAAATTCAACTTTGATACGACAAATTTTCCAAAAGTTATGACAAAAAATGTTAGACGTTAATTTGACTGGGACTTGACATTCCATCACTTTTATTTTGTTCATGTCTGTCAATTTTCAAATAACCTTCAGTACAAGTGACCAGGGTGATGTCACACACCTTTAACATGATTTTGAATTTCATCACCCACCCCAAATCCCAAATAGGGGTTGGGGAACCCACCATGAAAAAAATATTGGTTGATGGACTCAAAAAACCTCTTGCTTTATAGTTTAAGTAGGATTTATTCTACATAGCCACCTGTGTCCGTGCAGCAGAGTACAAAGCAGGTGTGGCCAGTCTAGGTGGTCCTCTTGTAGTGTCAAGTAGCCCTCAGGTAACACCACTAGAGGAGAGAGTGCTGGATGGCCTGATTGCATCAACTGATAGAACAGCCTCTCCACACTGTAAAAACACAAACAAGAACATTTATAAATACAGTAGAACCCTACTAATCTGACATCATCAATTGGTTACACTTAACAAGGATATCGTGGCATACAGCCCATTTCCCATGGGCACGTGGACATTATCACCGCCCGCCCCCCCTGCCGCCATTGCACCAAAATTAAAATCTTGTTTATCCCCCAGTCACAAAAATATCATTGTCCCATGTGAACGCAGCAAAATCTATCAAAATCTAAAGCAGGACATCTCCTGCAGCAGGGGAAACATTATGATTGTCAACAGCGATCAAGAAAAATCCCTCAGTCATGGAAAAAAATCGTCTTCGGTGATTGCTGAAAAATATTTAAAATTTCCCATTTAATATTTACCAGGCAAAATATTTAACATGTTCTATTGGTGACATCAACATTGTCTTCCACAATAAGGAAACTTTATCCGGGTTGTCTGGGATCGCGCAAGGCCACACTAAAGAAACAGGCCGTGATGCTCGTCAAGCATGACGTTGTAGCCAAGGGGAAGACGGCAATGACGTAGGTATTTATTAATTTTTTCCCCAAGGAATGATTAAAACAAGCAGCTGATCACAAACGGCAAACATTACGTCATTGCCGTCTTCTATAGTGACGTCATGCCTGACGAGCATTACGGCCTGTTATTTTAGTGTGGCCTTGGGTCGCAGTAAACTTCTGGATATCTCCTGCAGTAACAGAAACATCATCCACGTTTACGGGCAAATCCTAAACATGCTGCTCAGAATAATCTGACCTTTTCACTGTTCCGACCATGGTCTTAGTCACATAGATGACGGATTTAGCAGGATTTTACTGTAGTGATTATCTTTATACATCAAACATTCATACTTATATTTCTCCAGTAGGGTTTAATCAATCAGTAAGCCTAAGTAATTAATGTTGGATGGTATTAAAATTGATAGCTGCTACTGAACAGTCCTTAAGAAACCTCATTATGATAGGAAATAAGGTTTTTATATTTCCTATAGACATTGTGTACTTTAAAAGTTTTTCTCATTTTGTTAAGATAAAACACAAATTGAATAAACACGATGCTCTAGAAGGACAAAGACCTTACCATAAACATAAAATGTTGTTAATAATTAATAATTTATCACTTGACCTAAGTAAATCCCTAATAAAAAGTATGGTATATAGGTTTAAAAAACTTAGGCCTAATCAATTAATTTAAAAAGCAGACCGGATTTGCTTATAAGTGTACCAGTTTGTCCAAAGTTGGTAGATTTGTCTAACTAAAAATATAACATAATTGTTTAAACCTACCTTCTTCTGCAACCAACACATGGAATAGTGTTGCTCAAAATGTTCATGAGATCCTTTCGGCTGACTTGAAATGCATATCGGACTTCTTCTGGGGAAAGTACTTTATATTTAGCCTGAAATTCATCGAGTTCCTTTCCTTTGACAGTTGGGTTGTTTAGGTCCAAAATCCACTTTACAAATCCCATGCTGTTCAAATCCATTACCATCTATAAATGAAACAATAATATCTTTTAATAGAATAACTTAGAGGACTTAAGCCTACCTTGGACAAATGGGTGTTCCAAGAAGGCTACCTTTTTAGTATTGCAGATAGGGTGGCATCTATTTACCATAGGCTAGGTCTGATTGGTTAGAACCATAATCACAGACTATAGACCTCGTTGGTTATAGACTATAATTGGTCAATAGTCTGTGCCATAATCTATGTTGATTAATTGTGCGGTTACTGGCTAGGGAAGCAGTAAAAGCTTTTTTAGCAAATGAAGTAGCTATTACCGTAGGTGGTACACAGTAGCGGTTCCAAGGGACAATACACAACTAATAAAACAATATTACGCTATAGAAAGTTGTACCCATCATCCAATTTTTACAGCAGTCAGCTGATGACATGCTATGGCAAAGGCGAGCGCCAAGCGCGCGAGCGAGGGTGGGGGAAACAGCTGATTTCCAGATGTTCCATAGTTAGTTGTCAAATTGTCTGCTAGCCACTAACTATAGGCATCAATCAGCAATCAGCGGGAGCACCAGTAGCCTATACCATTGACTATATGAAACTAGTGTTAAAGTTAATACTACACTAGTTCAGTAAGAGTCAATGCTATTACTGAATTTGATATTTCGATACTATACATATTGTGACCTATGAAATGGAGAAAAACTTAAGGTTAAAAAACGTGTCTACTTGCTTGCATGATATATAACAGGTGAAATGGCAGGGTTTAGGACAATTATGGGCACAGTTCTAGCCGTTAGAAATGGCTTTAAAAAGTCACCAAACGGCTTTCAGGTGATATAGCTTCGTAGTCTACGGTAGGCTTATGTTTTGAAATTCATGAATGTAAGTTCGACATAGTTTGATTTTTTTAATGTCTACTTGCTCATGACAAAGACAAATAACAGGGGAAATGGGAGGTTTTTGGACAGTTGAACACAGTTTAGAAAGTCAGTAAACAGCTTTTAGGAGGATATGGCCGTAGCCTACAATATGTTTTGAGATTTCTGAATGCAATCATCATAGTTATTTTTTTAAATGTCTACTTATTCATTACAAACTAGTGGTCGTCCAGTGGTCGAAAACTCGACCAAAAACATGTAATCTTGTTTTGACTATTGGATACTGAAGTAGACATCCCATTTATATGGACCAGCTGTCGCAATCCTTTTTTAAACACATAGTTGTGTGAGCCAGTCACCGAATATGTGTCTTAAATTCTATTTTCTACCTTATTTTTTTGTTGCTGACAAAGTTGATGGGTCATAACAGTTTCTATAGCTCATAATAAGTCATTCCATAAGTTTTACTTGGTAAAAAACATCGAGAATCCGACAGAAATTAGTCATTTAGATCAGCGCAATCGGCTGGTGGCTCACATTAACTACGACGAATTTAATTTTAATAAAACTGGTGACAACTTAAACATGGGGATTACAGGCTTATGCTGTAAATAAAACATGTGATTGTAATTTATTCCATTTGGTTTGATTTTCTGTTTATATTTTGTTATTTCGTTGCCAACATGGCAACCCATAAAGCCCATGTTAATTTTTTTTTAATTTCAAATCCATTTTTTGTGCTTATATTTGAGGAGCCTATTTCAAGTTTCAAAGGGATTCTGCACTTCTACAGGAAAATATCTTTCTAACGGTATGCGTAGATTTTCCCTATGATGCACACGAGCTGAGAAAAAAGGTTTTAAAGAAACGTGCTTGCCTATTAATATATAGATAAATGGGGAAATGGGAGGTTTTGTACACAGTTCTAGACGTTAAAACTGGCTGTAGAAAGTCACCTAGAGGCTTTTAGGAGGATATGGCCATAGTATACAGTGTGTTTTGAAATTCATGAATGCAATCGCCATAGTTTAATTTTTAAAATGTCTATTTGCTCATGACAAAAGATAGGTGAAACGGGAGCTTACGGACAAATGGGCACGGCTTTAGGTGTTAAAAATTGCATTAGAAAGTCACCAAACGGCTTTTGAAAATTCCAAATTTTCCCAAGGGAGGACCAGCCCCATATTAGTAAAGAGAGTGTATGCAGTACTAATAGGTGTGACCAGAGTCACCCCACTCGCGGGGTGACAATGGTCAGCCAAAAAAGATTTTTTTCTCCAATCTCCTTTCAGATTAATTTTTTTTCTATAATGTCCAATAAGCAACAAGATTGCGGGTATAAATATATACCATGAACATAGAATTATGTTAAGAATTAACAAAGTTACAAATGAAAATGTGCGTTTTTTGACCATAGTTACCCCGCTTGACTTTATTTTCCTTAAAAGCTTATTAAACGTTATTTATCAAATAACAAACCAGAGCCGACACACTCTCATCGCCCCTTCCATGACTTGCATTCTTGGGAATGCCATTCCGAAATACGAACTTACCTGCCATGATTAGCCCCTCCACATTCCTACAGTATATAACCATGACATAATTCTGTCCTTGTTTATATTGAATTGAAATATACAAAATACCCCTGCCGCAGCAAATCTGCAGAGAAAGTGAATTTCAACTTATCTGATTACATTTTCATTAAAATATTTCTATAAATAAGATATATTTTTTATTCCCGATTTAAATAACATTACATTTAACAAGTACTTAGGTTTGCTGCTACAGGGAAGATAAAAAGTGTTTTTTGACCACATGTCAATATTATAGGGTGAAATAAATAAATTTGCCTAATTTTATCAAAATCAACTGCAACAGTTTTCATTTTCTCCATAAGAATTTCAACATGGGAAATTTAAACATGGGAACATTTAAAACCAACATGGGAATTTTAAATTACTTTTTTCTATTTTCCCTGTGACCGTTAGCCATACAACAGAGCTTTAATAAGTTATACTAAATTATTTCATCTTTTTAAGCTCTACAAAATGGTTTAGAAAGAAATTGCAACATTTTTTTTGTTTTTAGGGTCAAAAAAGGAAAAACCCTTTTTTACCCCATAAAACCCCCCGGTCCCATGCTCCAATAATACTGGTTCGCGAACTTGTTTGACTAAATATTATGTAGGTTTACACATTTTTACAAGATTTCATCAAAATCGGATAATTTTTGTTTGAGTTATCGTGCTAAAGGACATATATAGATATACTAGCAGAGTACCCGTCCTTCGTACGGGGTTGGAATATAAGTATAAAATGCTTATTGCAGTTATACTCAAGCTTTGCGTAGCAATAAGGGAGGACACAGTTCGATAAAATTTGCTTTTTTAAATTTACAGTATTCTATAGTATTACACATCTACCATAGCCATAATGAAAACCACTTCACCTAAACAATAGAGAAAAATAAATTATCAACAATTCGCAAAATATCACAAATTAAGATATTTATGAAATGAAAAACATAAACATAACTGTAAACAATCCTACTTTGACAGTTCTCATTGCGAATCACAGTTTTTTGTTGCTGCTTAGTTCAAATTAGCTGTTTTCATAAATGCAAAAAAATATAGTGCTGCACCCTGTTGGTAAATCTTATAACTTTTTAATGCTTTACCATATCATAGAACTAACTTTTTTAGTTGAAACAGCTTGGACTAAATTCTTTAATTCCCTTTAAATATGAATACTCATAAGGTTAACATGGGGAATTATAGAGCCACTGGGGCGGAGCCCGAAAGGATTTTTGAGATAAGAATATGGCTATATATGTTAATCGGGAATGTAAGCTATCATCATGAAAAATTTCAGCCCAATCCGTCCAGTGGTTTATGCGTGATTGAACTTCAAACACACAAACAAACACACAAACTTTCACATATATAAAAGGCAAGCCCTCACTGACTGACTGACTGACTGACTCACTCACTCACTCATCACTAATTCTCCCACTTCCCATTTACCTAGGAGGCTGAAATTTGGTACACTGATTCTTTAGGCATTAAATAGGAAAACTAAGTTGTTTTTATTCTGATCGGACTCTCGGGCTCCGCCCCAGTGGCTCTGGAGTTTCCCATGTTAACCTTATGAGTACTCATATTTAAATGGAATTAAGAATCTTAACAGCTGTTTCAATTAAACAAGTTGGTTCTGTTCTATGATGTGCAATAGCATTAAAGTTACAAGGATTACCAACAGGGTGCAGCACTATTATTTTTTTTAAATTTATGACAACAGCTAATTTGCAACCAAAAGGTGAGTGAGCGTAGCGAACGAACTTCAACCTGGAGGCGAGTTAGCGTAGCGATTAGCGAACGAGCTAACCTGAAGGCAAGTAAGCAAAGCGAACGAGCTCCAACCTAAAGGTGAGTGAGCGTAGCGAACGAACTTCAACCAGGATGTGATTGAGCCATGTGAACGAGCTCACTTATGAAGTAAAACGGGGCAAAGCCCGAGGGTACAGCTAGTTTATAATATAAGAAGTAAGATAAGATATGTGAATTTGAACAGATGGTGTTTTTGACCTCTAGTGACCTCAAAACGAAAAAGTAAAAAAAATCGGTCCCGGGTCCAGGTCTTACCATGAGACCTACTGTCGTAATAGTTTATTCCCTATATGGGAAATTCGCTAAAGCATACAGAGGGCAACTCAGCCCATCCCCATACGTACATGACTCACATTCCTGGGAATGCCTAAATACCAGCTGATCTAGTGAGATCATCCCCTTTACAACCATGATTTAAATCCTTGTTATTTTCAATGTGCTAAATCTTTTATGAGATATACAGTAGACCCCCTCTTAATCGACCCTAATGTTAACCCCCTAGGTCGGATAACTCAAAAGGTCGGTTAATACAGGCAATCCCTAAAATTATAACATAATTAATTTGGAATTATATAATCATTATTTTGAAGTCATCCTTGCATTATTTATAAAATAAACTACTCTTATCTCCTTTTTCGTATTGATAGAAAAGTCACATATAAACACAAAACACGGTTAAGCCAAATAGGCCTACTTTCAGTAGAATATATTATACTAGCTGTACCCGCGGGCTTTGCCCCGTTTTACTTCATAAGTGAGCTCGTTCGC